CCCCTTTCCCTTTCGTATTCCCCTTTCCCTTTCGTATTCCCCTTTCCCTTTCGTATTCCCCTTTCCCTCCTGATCAATGTTGCTGCACCTCAACGTGGTGATCAGGTGACAACAAGTTTTTAAAAGACTTGGCTAAGTCAGCAACAAATAATAATTACATATTACATAGACCATAAATCGTCTTTTACCTATATACACCGACTAACTCTTAAATTTTTTTAAACATTTATATTTATATTAAAAATTTTTTTTTTCATTTATAATTTCATCTTACTGTAACTTGTGTTCAACATTTTCATACTATTATATGAATTTAATAAAATAAATTAGTGTCAGTTACAGTATACTTGCTCTTGGCCAGATATAGTAAGTAACAAGTGGAAAAAAATGGTGAGGGTAAAAAAAAGGAAAATTGCAGTTACTTACGTAGACAAGCTTTAAGAAGCGAGATCAGAAGTGACCATCATCGCGGGTGAGTAGGTTTGGATGTTGAGACGAAGGTTACCTAATCTCCGTATTCCGTAGTTGCGATAAGGTGGTCATGGGCATAAGGGTGGCCGAGGTATACCACTTTAGTCAGTACCGTATGTATGGTCACTACAAGTATACCATACAACCACCATCTGTATGGTCACTTCATAGAAAACTATATGGTGCTGCAGAGTCACTTACCCACTTTAGCTTCGCCAAAATGCTTGCTTAGGTTGGTGAAAAGGACTATGAGAACCTTGTCTATGGTAAAGCTGTGGATGCACTCGTGAAAGGCCCCACGAAATTGCTATTAAAAGTTCGGATCCTGTAAGGATTTAGAAAGCTTATAACCTTAGTTTTTGTCCCCATATGCCATATGGGAAATGTCCTTCGCAATAATCTTCTAGATAATTGCGATTGCTCACAACAAGGAAGTCTCGACTTTTAGTCGTTCTTCTGAAGATCTTTTAGATCGTATTGTGATTTTGACATCCATATCTATGCTAAAAGTGATGTTTATGTCATAATTTGGTTTAAATATCTGAAGATTTAAGGAAAATTATTTCGAATCGCGAATGATCGTATAGCACTTATGAACAAATACTAAATTTGTTCAATGACGAGATTCAACAAAGAAAAATCGAAAAAAATCTGACAATTGCATTCAGAAACTTAGATTCATATGAAAGTAATAAGGCAATTCAAATGTAATTTACTGACGTAAGTCTTATCACTGATCAGGGGTGAAGTAGAAGATCACCGGGGCATGGCGTGCTACTGGTTGAGAACATGTTGCCTTATTGATAATGAAGGTGAAAAGTAGGTGACAAATTCGCGACGTCAGTCAATGTCAGAAATTATAAGATCATCAATTTCGTTAATTTCGTTTAAGGTTATAACACAACATTGCAATATTTTTATTGTAAATTTTAAATAATATCTTTGATTTCTTTTATCGCAATATCGCGTTATAAATCTTCGCGACAACATACAAAATCTGTTCAATGGAAAGCGCCGATTCATACAGAAATCTCGTCATTATGGTAAAATTGCTACCAAGACATCTCCTAAATCACTTAAATAACTGCAAGAAAAAAAATATTTTTTTTAATTATCGTTATTGTACAACAAAGTTAAAAAATTCGCGATCTTATTGTATACCCAAAATAAAGCTTTGCTATGATTTTGTACTTTAATTCTTATTATCATTTGATTTTTTTGAGGATTTCACTTACTTGAAGCTTTCACTCACATTGGCTTGTATTTTTACATGTTTGTAATTTACTTTCGAAAGGTTTTACGTTTGGACTAACTGAATGATTAAGAATTTTTTAAAAAAATAATTTTTAACATGATTTTTGTAAATATAAATGCAATCTTTAAAAATGCCCAATTTGCAAAAAAAAAAAAAAA